GCGTGGGGGGGGGGGGGGGCGAGGGGGGAGGGTTGTACAGTCCTGGTTCATACAGCAGTGTGCAGGTCACAGGTAGAACCACATGAGTCCTGCTAAACGCTGCTGGTTGTGTTTTGAACTGTTTTGCTGCAGTTCACCCAAAGAGTAGCTGACACTAAGCCCAGCCATCTGCTATGGTCAACTGCTCCTCTCTCCCAACTCTATGCCTACATTTCTCCATGTTTTCTATTTTTACAAACCATGTAATACTACTTCTCCACCTGTCCTTGACTCCTCCATACACCCTACTCTGCCTACCCTCCTCCTGCCCCATGACAAGCAGGTGATGTCCTGCATCCCATTCAAAGGTCAGGTTACCCAGACAAGTCGTGTATCCTGCCAGATCAGCTCAGGTGGTGCTGCCCCTCCCTCCTTTCAGACAGCATCCCGTTCCCAGCAAGGTAATTGCTATCCAGGTTTGGTTTTGCTCTGTGATGGAGGGAAGGAAGGAGGGAAGGAAGGAGGGAAGGAAGGAAGGAGGGAAGGAAGGAAGGAGGGAGGGAAGGAAGGAAGGAAGGAAGGAAGGAAGGAAGGAAGGAAGGAAGGAAGGAAGGAAGGAAGGAAGGCCTCTAGAGCCACCTACAGATCCTCATCACTACTGTTTCCAACATTGCTTCTGCAATGACACTGCTCAAAACCCCAGATGAGCAGTGAGGCTCTGGGTTCAGAGAAAATTATTGGTGAGAGGGAGGTGAAAGGAGATCCAGCTCTTCTTACCTTGGGATCAGCAGCTGCTACCAACACAAGGGAACCCCTGAAGCTCTCTGGACCAGCCATGGTGTTAAGCTGAGTGAAGAGGCCTGTGATCGCAGAAGACAGCAGGGACAAGCCGAAAGCCGGGGAAGCTGTGCAGGCTCACTGTGGGTCTGTGTGCCTGTGTGCCTTCCCGTGCCGGCTAAGGCGGTCCCTATTTCCTCCCCGATCCTGTTTCCAGCTGTTTCCCAAAAGAGAAGGTTTTGAGCAGACTGCTATGTGCTCGCACCCCGGGATGGAAACCCGAGAAGGAGAGCTCGCCGCGAGGGGCAGCGAACGGAGAAGGGCCGGGACAGCTCCGGCGGCGGCGGGTGCCCGACGGGGGCTGCGGCGGGGCCGGGCGGCTGCCCCTCGGCGGCGGCCGAGCAGGGGCCTGGCCCCGGGCAGCTCCCGAGATGAAACACCTCTGCCCGGAGGAAAGGGAGTCAGTCCTCAGGAAGAGGAGAGAGATGACTCTGTTCCCCGGAGAAGATGACAGCGCTCTTCCAGAAGCCTTGTCTTATTTCACTCCTGGGATTTATCGCTCCTCTGCCATTCCGCTCTCCCTGTCCGCCCTCACACCTCAAACAAGCCGGGGAGCCTCTGCGTTGGCGGCGCTGCCCGCTCCGCCCCGCGCCCCGCCGTGCCCGTCCCCAGGCCGGCAGCGGGGAGCGCGTCCGCACGCAGGGAGCAGAGAGAGCTTCGCCCGGTTTACTGATGGGTGACAATTTCTAGCTTCCCCTCCCAGGCGTTCCCCGTTTGAATCTGACCTGTTGTTAAAAAGACACACCACCTGCTCTGTGCTGCCAGCGAGCGGGGAAGGAGGCACAAAGGCGGGGGATGGGAAGAAATAGCTTTGGCTGCAGACATAGAAGAGAAATTAAAATAAATAATCTCTTTTCCCAGGAAGTGCCGGACACGGGCGCCTTGTGGGAGGACGGACTGAAGTGAGTGGTCAGTACACTCAGAGTGTGGGCAAAGAGGGTCTGTACACCCTTTCCAATTCCCGATGTGCCAGGTTGGAGACGCGGATCCTCCTGGGTTTCTCTTAAGACGAGCTCAAGGACTGGTACTTATGCGTGTATGAAGCCAAAGCTTGGTTTCCCCGCTGCTTCCACCTCTGCGGATGGCTTTCTCCGAGCGCTGTCCTCCAGCCTGGCAGGACGAGACTGTGCCACCCCCCCTCCCCAGCCCAGAAATGTGCGACTCCCTCGGCAAGTCAGACCCCGGGGCGCTCAGTGATTGGGAGTGCGGCGTGCGCTAAAGCGGGTCAAAATTAAGATGTGCCTGGATGCTGCCCAGCGGGTAATTTCCCTTTCCTCCTTGCTGCAAGCCTGATGCGGAGGGGGATGCCCGAGAGGTGCGGGATTTCCGAGGCCGCTCGGGGCGGTCGCCCCCAGCACAGGCACGAAGCGGCTCGCTGACCCCTCCGCAGGGGCGCACGGGGTGCTGCGCACCCCCTGAACCCCCGGGCCGGCCCCTCAGCAGCACCCCAAAGCCGAGCGCTAACCGAAGGAGTGTGAGAGAGAAACCACGGAGAGGGAAACCGAGAAAGAGTCTGGAGTAAGGATGTATGTGCGTGCGTGTGGGGAAGCCAGATCACTTGTGAATGGCTTGAAAAAAATAATTGGGGGAGGGCGTGGAGGGGGGGAAGCGGAAACTTTCCTATAAAACTCAGCAAAAGTCCCTCCTCTCCACGTCAGGCCAATGACACTGCTGCCCCCAAACTTTCCGCCAGCAGGAGCTATAAGAACCTCCAAGTCTTCAACTTTCTCCCAATCCCAGACACCTCGAAGGGGCTCCAAGGAGGGATCGGGAGGGATTTTTTTTTTTGGTTGGCCTTTTTATTTTTTTCCTCTTGGATCCTGATGCCATCCCCCCTCCCCCCAAAGTGAGGTCCTCCCTCCTTCCTTCCCTCCTCCTTCTCCTCGCAGGCCAGCGAAGCAGCCGATCAAGGGGGAGCTGGCGGGTTAGGTGCCCCCCTCTTCTCCCTGCCCTCCCCCCCCTCCCGGCCCGCTTCTCGCGTCTCCCCCCAGAGATGATGCAGCAGGACGAGTCAAACTCGCCAGTCTCCCCCGCCGACGACAGCTTGAGCAACAGCGAAGAGGAGCCGGACCGGCAGCAGCTGCCCAACAACAAGAGAGGGGGGCGCAAGCGCCGCTCCAGCCGCCGCAGCGCCGGCGGCGCCGTCGGGGCCGCGGACGAGCCCTGCAGCCCGGCCCAAGGCAAGCGGGGCAAGAAGTGCGGGGCGGGCGGGGGCGGCGGGGGCGGCGGAAGCAGCAGCGGCGGCGGCAGCCCCCAGTCCTACGAGGAGCTGCAGACCCAGCGGGTCATGGCCAACGTGCGGGAGCGGCAGCGCACGCAGTCGCTGAACGAAGCCTTCGCCGCCCTGCGGAAGATCATCCCCACGCTGCCCTCGGACAAGCTGAGCAAGATCCAGACCCTCAAACTGGCGGCCAGGTACATCGACTTCCTCTACCAGGTCTTACAGAGCGACGAGCTGGACTCCAAGATGGCAAGCTGCAGCTATGTGGCCCACGAGCGGCTCAGCTACGCCTTCTCGGTGTGGAGAATGGAGGGCGCCTGGTCCATGTCCGCATCCCACTAGCAGGCGGCGTCCCCCACCCGCATCCCCCCGGCAGGAGCCCTAGGTAAGACAGGGACCCCGAAACCGGCGGGAAGAAAGGGGGGAGAGAGGCGAGAGGCCGCGGGCTGCGCCGTGAGCCGGACACGCGTGGCCGTGGGGCGAGAGGGCCCGCACCCCGCCCGGAGGGGCCTGGCTTGCCGGGGCGGCCGGAGAGCGGGGCGGCTGGAGGTGCCTCCCCCGCTCCGGCGTGTCCCTCCTCCTGCGCGGCCCGAGGTGCGGCCCGGGCCCCGCGGGGCCCACGCGTGGCCGGGTGCTGCCGGCGGGCTGGGCTGCGGGAGGGAGGCGGCGGCGGTGCGGGTGTGCCCCAGCCAGATGGGGCCGGCCTGAGATCACTTCTTCACCAAACGCTGCGGAGCCAGCAGGGCTGCTGGGATAGCTCCTGCTGCTGGGATGGCTCGTGCTGCCGCCGCCGCTGCTGCTCATATTTTGAAGTGAATCCATGTCCTCCCGTTGTGCTGCCCGATGAGGGCTTCCTACCGCCCCGGCAGTCCCTTTCCTCGGCTCTGACAACAGGGTCCGCCGGGCTGGGGTGTCACACGGTCACCGCACGGCCCCCACGGCGAGTTCTCCCTTCTCCATTCCTGTCCGATACGGGTGTTTCCAGAGACAGAGAGGTGTAGGTAGATGTTTGTGTAACTTTCGTTTCAGTAACGAGTTTTCCGCCCTTTCTGGGTTTTTGCAGATGACATTGCTCCCACAGAAGGAGAGAATGGACAATCTAGAGACTCTGAAGTTGGATACGATTTTTTTTTGATCTTGTCTAACAAAAAATGTACCAAGGATTTCTTGGAAATTAGAAGAGTAATATCCAAATTCAAAGCAGGGCGTGGGGAGCACTTAAGGAAAGAGAAAGAGAGAAGGGCTTTGGACAGTGACTACCCTCTGGGCGTCGGTACAATCCACACATCTCTGCATTCTGATAGAAGTCTGAATCGTTCGATTTTATTTTTTTTTTTAATTTTGACGAAGAATGTTGGAATTGAACTTTTTTTTTATTTGCCCTTTTTTTTTTTTTTTTTGCATGCATGCATTCCCAAGAGGTCGTGCCTATGAGCCACTGATGAAAGGAAATACATTATTGTGGACTTTCTTCATTCTTGAATGAAACCAAGCAGCCAACCAAAAATATCCCTGTAGAGATGAAAACTTTTTTTTTTTTTTTTTTTAAGGGGGGAATAAGCTGGGCTCAAGCTGTTATATACCCGGTTCCTAACTTTTTTATTATTATTATTTTTCCTCTGAGAAAAAAATAAACATTTTATTTATTTATTGATGACCCATGTTAAAATGCAAATAGATCCGGTGTCTAAATGCATTCCTATTTTTATGATTGTTTTGTAAATACCTTTGTACATTATTTTTCTGCAATAAATAAATATGACTGAAATTTTAATAACCTTAAAGTTTGGTCTCTCTGAGAACTCAGGGTTAGAACTGTAGATAAATACCTGCTTGTTGAGCTGTAAAGACACCCAAGAGAGAGGGGGCACTAGTATAAACAAACCAGGCGAAAAACGCAAATAAACTAGCTACTGACAGACACAGGCTCGTTATTTATTGAGACAGCTTTATGATTCTGTGCTGAAGCTCACTACATCTGCAGAGGAAGGTATTGTCTCTTCTCTCTTTCTCTCTCTCTCCCCCTTTAATCTTTACGCCAGGCACGGCGGAGTTGAGCGGGGAGTGGAGTTTTAATGCCCAGCTCTACCCCTGCCTTCGTGTTTTGCCCCCAGATGTGAGGCAGGAGCGGGGCCCGTTCCCCAGCGCCCGGCGCAGGTACTTTTGCTGATATCACTGAGGAAGTGGCATCGGTTTTAAACAGAGATTCGTCCATCCAGAGGCAAAGTCAAAGAAAGTGAGATTGAAATAGGGAAGTGTCTAGCGAGTGGGGTTTTCCGGTGGAAGTGATGTTTGACTGCTCTGCTCTCTAGGGTTTTATATAATATATATGCTAGCGATCACATCTTCGTTGTGCAAAGCACGGGGGGATACTCTAACCCGCCCTCTTCTCCTTTTCTACGTGTAGGGCGCATATTGCCCCTCTTTCTTTTCACCATGCTTTCCGCCGGGTCCCGGTATGCGGCGAGAGCCCGAGCTGCAAAAGAGAGGGAACCTCCAGATCTGAGGGGTCGGAAGGAAAGTGAAAGGGAAGTTATGAACAAAAAAAACCCGACCAAACAAACAGAAAACAAAACAACCCAAACCAAACCTCAACCCCTATAGCCGGACAGCTGAGCGAGTCTCTGCTGTCACTGGCTCATCTCCCAGCGCTTGGCAGCAGGGCAGTGAGAGGGGAGCGGCGTCTCCTCCCCTCCGCGGCCGCGGAAGGTGCGCAGGGACCGCTGCCGCCCTGGGAGCGGAGCCGTGCCCTCCGTGGAGACAGGAACTCCGCCGCCTGAGTTCGGCCAGTGTCTAGGGTAAATAGGATGGGGTACTTTTTCAAGACAGAGCCTGTTTGCATAGCCCATGAGTTGACTTTATTGCCTGTATTTGTTTCCACATCCACATATTGCCGTCTATTACCATCATAACAATATTGTGAATATAATATCGGGCATATTTTAAGCCAGTGAGCAATGTTTACAGTAGAGAGCCCGCAGCACTTGTTTGCACTGACGGATTAGCAAGGACTTGAAAATTAGATGACGGCCCTGGTGGTCGCAGCTCTCAATGATGGAGAGGAGGGGAAGCCGCTGCGAGCTCCCGAAGGGTCGCTGCCTTTCCCCGGCACCCTGGCACCCACAGCTGCCCTCTCAGATATTCCGAACCCCCGGCCCCGATGCCACCGGCTGCCGAGGTGCAGATAATATCTGTCCGTGTTACCTCGGCTGCAGCCTAGGCGAGAGGCACGGGGAGCCGGCGCAGCTTTGGCAGTGGGGCTAAGAGGATTTGGGAGGTTATACAAGGTTTGGGTTGTTCCTTTTGGGGGAGAAATCACGCCGGGGAAATGTGGGGAAAACTGCTCACATTTAGGAAGAAAACAGGTTCCGGGAATGAAAAAAGCAACCAACCAGACGAGCTGCTCGGTGCTGAGGAGAAGGCGTGTTTCGTGGAAGGGGATTCCTGAGAAATACGAACGAGAAATCAAGTTAACTTTAAAAGCCACGAATCAAACTGTGCTCGGCCTTAGAAATCGGGAGAGGCCCCGCTTGATGGACTTAAACCTGACTGGCTCTGTTGCAACCAGCAAGAGGCCTCTGGGCCAGCGGGTGCAACACTTTCCCAGCAAGCTGAACACCCGAGTGAGAAAAATTCCCAATTCCTATGCGTGGGGCTTATGATGCCACCGGCAGGGCTTCCTTTCTAACTTCTGTGTCCCTCCGAGCGAGTCCCTGCCGGCGCTGCAGCATTCCTGGGCAGCAGGCACTCACCAGCACTTGTCAGCCGGGAAAGAGCACAGGCTGACAACCGCTACCTCTGCCTCATTTAAAAAAAAAAAAAATTAAAAGAAAAATTAAAAAAAAGAGAGAGATAAACCTGTTTTAAAACTAAGAGCATACCCCTTCTCCTGGACTGAAATTGGGGACTGCAATTGGGGACTCCTCGGGCTAAAGCCAAAAGCGATTAAATCAACGTCAGGCTTACGGAAGGAAAAAAGAAATAATATGTATGTTAATTTGCCTTCTGGGAATTTTAAACACTCTTGCAATCGGAAAATTAACTCTGCCTTTGGAAATCCTGATTGATTTAGCTTTTTGCTTTTTTTTTTTTTTTTCTCCGAGGCATCAATCTGTCCCGTTTATTCGCGGACTAAGCGGTCCGTGCCCGCTCGGCAGCCCGGTGGGCCCGGCGGAGCTGGCGGTGCTCGGAGCGGCGGGGCCGGGGCTGCTCCTCCTGCGGGGAGCCGGCCGGGGGGCGCCGGCCAAGGGCCCTCGCACATTCCTGGCTTTGGCAGGGGCCGCCCCGCTGCTTTCTCCAAGCCGGTATCGGATTCCTCCCCGGCGTATGATTTCACTTGAAGTCCTGCCCAGGAGCCCTTCAAAGTGCGCTCTTGTCCCGCTCCCATGATGTCAGGCGGTTTTCCCTGCATCTGTAATTTTAAGAAAAACAAACAAACGCGCCGTGGGGATGTGGGGGGAAAGCGAGGGAGAGGGCGGGGGCACAAAAGTCACGGAAAAGCGCAGGGGGAGAGGGACTCACCTGCGGAGCCGGCATCTCGGGCACCTGCCTCCCGGGGCGAGCCACCGCGGGGCTCGGCGATTCCCGGGAGCGGGCTCAGCTGCCGGCCCCGGCGCTCCCCAGGGCGCTCTCGGTGGCTGAATCCGCCCGGTTCACACGGCTCTCCCTTCACCTGCCCGCTCCGGCAGGCAGCAGACCCGCCGGGAGAGCGGGAGCGCTGCCGCCATAAATTAGCATCTTTGGGAAGCGGGTGGTGCTGGTGGTGACGGCAAATCCAATCCACCCCGTAAAGGCATCCGAGAGGCTAAAGCAAAAGAAAAAAAATAAATGCGCACATCCACATCCCATCAGGACTTATTTTATTTGCTGCACACATAACCTGCCCGCAGTAAACATGGCACAGGATGTATTTTACATTAACTTCTGCACCAGCTTCTTTCGACTTCAGTCCACTTAATGTTCTTGGCAAATCAAAGCACGTGTCCTTTGAAGAAGGTGTGTAATTGGAGTTTAAGGCGTGTATGGAATTCCCAGATGTCTATAAAGTAAGACGGAGCATTTGGCAGGTCACTTGAAGGTGGAGCAGGTTAAAATCACTTATAGAAAAGTCCCCCTTTTCTTTTTTAAAACCAAACAAGCAGACCATTTATAAGGACCAAGTGATCGACATTGCGGGAGGGTTAGAACGGTTTTACAGAGCAAGAACAATAAAGCTGCGGAAACTTAATGATGATGGTAACACCAGTTTAAAAATCCTAAATAAAACGTGCAACAGAACTAAATATTCAGATCGGCGAAAAAGCTTCCCATTCTCTTGGTAATTCCCTGTCTCCTCCGCCAGCTCAGGAACACTTACACTGTTCTTATCTGCGTAGTCGTCTTGTCTTGGTTAGCGGACACTTCCCCATTGTTTTCATAAGGAGGGGACATTAAATTTGCAGACACTTTACAAAAATTCCCTTGTTCACTCTATGGACACGGACAAAAAAAGAAGTTTTTTACTCCAAATAATTCAGGCGAACCACGCGGGGATAAAGACGGCTACGAAGGTATCAGGAGCAATTAATAACAGCAGAAATAGTAACAGAATAGGTTTGGGACAATTAGGTGCTGATCGTTTCACTTTGGGAGTATTATCAGCTTTCATACAAAATATTAGCCTGAGTAGGACTATGGGTTCACTTGGAGCGGGGGGCCCGCAAATCCTGTTTGCTGGGCTGCAGAAATCCCAAAGCGAAACAGTGCGGCGGGAATAAGACCCGCTCTGTCCTCCTAATGCGGGGAAATCTGGAGGTGGGAGGGGGCAAGATGAGGAAGGGTGCTCTTGGGAAGGGTCGGGGTCGCCCCATCATGTTTAGGGTTGCTTTGTTCTATTCGGGCAGAGGCAGAGTCATTAAACAAGCAGTCAAGAAAGGAGCAATACACGCGACTGCAGCCGTGGAGGAAAGGAGTGCTTCAGAGGGGAAGGGATTTTGACATGTGAAAAGTTAAGCAGGTACCTGAAGGAAGTTTATTTTGACCAGATGTTAGAGCTTTTATGAAAATGTCACGTGAAGCGAACAGATGTACAACTTGCAAATGGAGCCCCGCCTTGTAAACACTGGGAAGAGAAAGGCTCACAGAAATTCAAGCATAAATCATTTCTCCTTTTTCTGTGTGTGTATTTGTACATAGATGTGCAAGAGTATGTAGGCTCTACTTAAACTGCTTTTATTTTTTATTTGTTTGTGAAAAAAACCCAAAAAGGCATTCTGTCCAAGCTTGCTATCCTCTTCCAGTGTGTCTAAACACCTTCCTTCCTTCCTTCCTTCCTTCCTTCCTTCCTTCCTTCCTTCCTTCCTTCCCTCCTTCCCTCCTTCCCTCCCTCCTTCCCTCCTTCCCTCCTTCCCTCCTTCCTTCCTTTTCTTTCTTTGAATTTTCCCTCCTCTCCCCCTCCATCTCTTGCCCTTGTTCTTTCTTTCTCTCTTTTCTCATTCTTTCTTTCCCTCCGGCTGACCCCCTCCTTTATTCTCGGGTCCGTTTGATCCCAGGGAAAGTATCAGATCTCTCCTGGGAGGAGAAACTGAAACTAATCAATTGCCTTCTATTTGAAGGTGAGTAGGAGCTCCTAAAGAGCACAGAGGAAAGTCTGGGCTGGCAGCGAAAGTCTG